TGTATGTATGTATATATATATATATATATATATATATATATATATATATATATATGTATGTATGTATGTATGTATGTATGTATATATATGCATACGCGTGTGTGTGTTTGTGTGCAGTTTTATATTTGTGTACACACCATTTTTTTTATGGATATGCAAGAACTATTCAACCCGATTCGAACAAATTATTAGCATGGACGAATACATGAATAACGAGTTTATGGTCACCTCAATAAATGCGCTCGCCACATCTAGTCGATACGAAGGAAGGATAAAGAATATCTCGGACGAGAGGCGATAAAGAAGCGAGAAAAAGAAGGAGCGAGCCAGAAATCAGAAATGGAAGCGAAAACTAATAAGGAACGATCCACATACAAGCAAGAGGAGGGCCAGGCTGTGTTCACCGCACTATTGCTCCATGTGGTGAAGAATGCTATGGTATGTAGTACATAGTACACACAAGCTCAGGATTTCTATCCGGCAAATCGCACTATTGATATCAAAAGTATCGGCTTCAGTTTATTCGTGGCTTCAAATGCATGTGTCATATACATGTGGCATCTCCCCAACTGTTGCGCATCGGATGTGGCGGTACTTCATCTGGCTAGAAGGCGTCTAACTCTACAGAATTTTCCGCCATGTACACAGTTAAAACAATAGTAAGGCCAACAGTTGTTTATGAACTTGTTGGTATAATATATATTTAACGCAGCCATCACTATTACGTTGTGCGCGATACACGATTATCAGTCATGGCGAGTGGCCAAAGAGGATCTGAGAAACGACAGCAGGTGGAGGGATTGTGGACTATCCGCAGATGAGAAGGAAGCACTTTTCAGAGAGCACACGCGCAAGCTTGACGACAAGGCTGCAGCAAGATACCACAACCTCATTGAATCTGTAAGCTCTCATTATACATTTGCGGTTATGTATATATGTGTGTCTGTGTCTGTGTCTGTATCGTTTGTGTTTGTGTGGTGTGTGTGTGTGTGTGTGTCTATGTATTCATATATTTATGTGTATGTGTATGTATGTATGTGTGTGTATATGTGTATGTATGTGTTTGTGTTTATGTCTATGTTTACGGTGGGTTTTTTTTGTACTCACATATATATATATATATGCCTTTTTGTGTGTCATGTGTTTACCTAAACTCATATCCTCGTACATATAACTAGATGTATATGATCTTTATCCTTATGTCGTGTACTGTATTTTTTTATTGCTTCTTATAGGGTATGTTTCTTCATGCTTGAACATATGAATATGTTGGATTTTGAATTTCTGGTGTTTTTCAACAGCTATGTGTGTTTTAATTGTGGAAGGTGGCGATAGTTGAGGATTATGCGAGTTTATTACGGGTATGTATGATTTATTCGAATGCACTACTTCCGCTTTCAGTGAAGGTGCACAAGGTATATAGTGAACATATGTTTGCTAGCAGTACGCGTACGTGGCCTGGAATGCCATAGATAACATGCACCCGCAGTTCTCTCCCGTCCATTGTCACAGTAATAAACAGATGTGCTACAAATTCCTGATGCGAGCCTGATCAAATATCGTTCAGAAACGCTTCTCATAGCCGTGTTTCAAATATGGTTTATTTATTCTGTCCCTTCTCCTTGCACCACTGTCGCCGACATGTATAGTATCTCAACTTGAAGCTTGATACCCCGTTCGAAGAAGTGGCGAAGCATATTGAAGGCGATCCTCGATATGAAAGATTCAGAAGTGAGGATAAGGACGAGGTATGTTCTGTACTTTCACATGCACAAGATTTTTCGATGAATTGCGCATAGTTCAATCATCATATCGCGTAGGCTTGTACGTATCTATCTGATATATGTTCATAATTTCATATATTCGGTTCGTTAATGGCGTGTCTGTACGATATACATACCGTATGCTGTACACATGTATTGTGTCCATGTCTTGGTACGTACGGTACGCTTGCTTTCAGGACCTCAACCACTATAACAATACCACCACAAAATCTTTCTTTGAGTCTTCGTGCACAAGCCTATACTTGTGGACCGTATGATGTAGATATATAAGGCTAATCTGTTTATAGTATGTCTGGAATCATCTGAATTGGTGTTTGCTGTCAGCCTACTCTGCAATTGCATATGTACGGGCTGAAGAGGCTCGCTTCTATGAGCTTCTGTGCTTGATCTTGTATCGGCGAATTTGGGGTGATGAAGCTGTGTGTGACGTTGTACCTTTTTGTATCATCTGAAGCGGATTTACATACTTGATTCGGCGTCTAAGGTTGATAAGTTGTTCTCGGATCCATAATTCAGAAATGTGCGCGACGGATTCTTAGTCTCTATGTAAATGGTCTATGTGAAGATGGTTGTATATATACTCCTGCTTCGCCATGCATGCGTTCTGCTACAGGGTGCCCCTATCCTTCATACTGACCTTGAACTCTTGTTTCGCAGCGCAAGAATGAATTCGAGCGATATATGGTACAAAAGAAGAAAATGGCTCTTAAAGACTTCAAGAATTTGCTGCTCGAGACCAAAGTATTTTCAACGTGTATTGCTCTTCGCCGTCTACTCCGCTTGTTTTCAACAGAGGAGGGGTGTTCAATGTTGCCGCTTTAACTTTTTGTATAGGAGTGTCACGGGATGTACCATAATAGATCGTAAAGCAAAGTCGAATGTAGTTTTTATTTTTATATAACATGTTTGTACTTTAGACTGGTATTTTGAGTATAGTTTACGGCTCCGATTTTTGGCCGGGGATGCCTGATTACACACAAACCCAACTGCGTTCGACGAATGAGCACAAATTGAGGCATTTTTACACTTCGTCAAAAATTGGCTCCGTCTGTATGTTATGTTTGGGTTCACCGTAGACCATGCCTGTACTTGCGCGTCGTTCAAATTCCTTGTCAGTATTCAGATACACGTTGAAATCCGGGCATTGATTTTATATATTCAATCCTACTTTTATCAATATGTGAGTCAAAGTAATCAGGTATCGTTTATGTGTAGGGCTAGCACACGTAACATCGCTTCCTATCGCATAGGCCACAGTCATCAACTTGACGCCTATACTCTCGGTCTATGTGAGGTGCGCGTGCATAAGTATACTATCATAATAATGAATATCAGAATAATTGAATTTCTATCGTCGCCATTGAATTTTTTATAAGCTTGTGGTTCACACGCAGAAGAAAATTGACATTCAGAATCACTGGCAGAGTAGACGAAGTAAAGATACCATTGATACTGACCGCTATTCCGCCCACGTTGTTCGCTCGCTGACACATATATGCACCTCTTCAAATCATCTCAGCAAATAAATTACAAGACGCAAAGCGAAATTCTACAGAACCCTGGAGTGGTGGAGCACATCAAATCCATACTTAAGGTATACAAGTTTACGCAATTTTTGTGCAATATAATGCCACTCGGTGAATGAGTATACATCCGACACTTTGCACGCGTTGATTGCGTTGCTTAAATATGAATCATTTGCAAAAAGTCTAGATCGATGAGCATAGACATGGTTGGATATGCAATGCATACCATAAATACTCAGCGTTGGCTTAATATTCTCCTTTCATGCACGGCACGTCCTTTTAAAGGATGACCACACCCCAAACTCTTTTATCTCGTGTTAACTAACTTCATCTTATCTCATCTTTTACCCACAGCAAGATAAGCGTTACATAGATTTAGACTGCTTCCGAGAGGAGCGCTACACTATGATGAACGAACATATAACGGACATGGCACAGAGAGGCGAGCCAAGGCCAGTCACCGCCTCTGTGCGATGACGAGACTCATATTAATAACAGAAAAGAAAAGACGTACAAAGTTTATTACGCCGGCGGAGGAGTTACCGTAGCTCATTAGTGCCCAGGTTTGGTTCAGATGTGTTGTCGAAAATGGTAGCTCACCATGTGGTGCAAGAACAGTTGTCGCGCTGAGGAGGTTAGGCAGGCCATATGTGTCAAGTTGAAACTCGCCAGTCGAAATATGGGTCTATGAGAACTATCTGCAAACACCGCGTATGCTTGTGACGTGCATATACTACGGTATTGTCATGTGATGGACCACAAAGCTGTGCTGAATTCTGACGTGGGATTCGGTTTGCAATACTACACCGTAACGTATAGAAGGCCTGAGGGTACGAACTGTGGAAGTGCCGTGTTGCAAGACAAGCACTACCAGTGGGCCGGAGCAACCTCTTTTGTATTTTTAGGATGCAAAAATAAATCATGCCGGAAAACTGCAACACATATGTGCAATTTGACAAAGCAACTAAGATTACCGGCAAAAGTAACTAGGACTGCTGGCAAAAGTAACTAGGACTACTGTTAAAAGTAACTAGGACTACTGGCAAAAATAACTAGGACTACTGGCAAAAGTAACTAAGCCTACTGGCAACAGTAACTAGGACTACTGGCAAAAGTAACTAAAACAACTGGCAAATGTCACTAGGACTACTGGCAAAAGTAACTAAAACAACTGGCAAATGTCACTAGGACTACTGGCAAAAGTAACTAGGACTGCTGGCAAAAGTAACTAAGACTACTGGCAACAGTACTAGAACTGCTGGCAAAAGTAACTAGGACTACAGAAAAATGTAACTAGGACTACTGGCAAAAGTAACTAGGACTACAGAAAATGTAACTAGGACTACTGGCAAAAGTAACTAGGACTACTGGCAAAAGTAACTAGGATTGCTGGCAAAAGTCACTAGGACTGCTGGCAAAAGTAACTAGGACTACTGGCAAAAGTAACTAAGCCTACTGGCAACAGTAACTAGGACTACTGGCAAAAGTAACTAAAACAACTGGCAAATGTCACTAGGACTACTGGCAAAAGTAACTAGGACTGCTGGCAAAGTCACTAGGACTGCTGGCAAAAGTAACTAGGACTACTGACAAAAGTAACTAGAACTACTGGCAAAAGTAGCTAAGAATACTGACAAATACCACGTTAGACTAATACCTGCATGCGTTATAGGGCCATGTCTTCTCCGTCGCGCCCTTGTTTTAATCAATTGTGCATGAAAATCGATAAGGCAGGGACGCACGATGAGCACTCAGGCATGGAAACTCAGAACAATTGTTCAGATAATCACAAAAGGGCAGCTGTGCTTCAATGCTCATGCCGTGTTTTATCGGTCCGCGACACGAGTTTTACTTAGGTCCCACTGTACTGAAGATTTACACTTCTCTAAAAAGGGGTTGAGTTTGTATGTCAGGTGTTCCGGGAGCCTCGTATGCAAACATTCATCATATTAGTGACTCATTGACATCACGTGTATGTCAGAGATTCTTTAGAATAGAAGCGCACAAAAGAAGATTTTCGTCCTTCAAGCAGTCACGCAAGTCTTGGTTGATCCAGACCAGACTGGTGTGGTTATAAACGTGGTAATATAAATACGTATTAATTTGTAGGGACTTTGCGCCGAGATTAAGGTAGATTATTCATTCATCTATTGAATATAGAATACGACCGGCGGAAACGAGATCTTGTCAAGATTCTGTTTGCGCATTGCCAACTTACAACACAAGAAATAGTGCCTGGCGATAGAGATATAAAAAGTAGGATCTGACCTGGACCACGTTCACTTGACTGCTGATTGAGTGCTGCAAAAAATGTACGCATACTTGTAGAGAGACGATCAACAATTATCAATGTCTGAAGGATGTCAAATATCACCTCGCGATATCATACTAAGAGTGTTATATAGTTTCTGTACTCTGCGTCGCTATAGATGGACGGGTTCTCTTGAACATACCTAATTACCTGAAAACGAGACTTTTGATTTTTATGTCCATTGGTGTCAAACGCAGCCACTTTCTTTCTAAAGGTCTCGCACGCCTACCTTTAGAAGTACTGAAGTATCGAAACTATATACCCTTATTGTGAATCATCGTTTTTATGCTCGCTCGTATTGGTATATACAAGTAGCTCCCTTGTGTACCGCTTGGTTTATGCTACAATCATTTCCACATAACGACACTCAGAGCAGTAAGTAACAGCTTGATAAGTCGATTATAGTCCGAAGGTCTGAATGCTTTCGCTACTTTTGAGGCTCGGGAATAAGCGTTCTCGAAGCCCCTCGGACCCAAATGACAAATTAAACATAAATATACATACAACTAGACGGCGGCACATGTCCGCTTATAAAGTATCTCGCCTAGAGAGAGACCGACATTGTCACAGGATTCGCTCTAGCCCTCTTGGGTCATTCGCAATTAAATACACACGCACAGTCACGAGAAACTGAAATACATGTACATAAATATCTAAATACATACTATTACATACAGAAACGAAATACATTTGTAATCACTTTTTCTGGGTACTGCTTTTTTCCCCATAGTTGCATAAATAAATGCAAGTGTAACATTAGCAAAAATAAGGTGGGTCAAAATACGGTTCTATATGTAAATAGAAACTGCATTCTGGTCTGATATAGACCGAACCATCCAGGTATCCACAGTCATCCACCCAGGAGGCGAAAGAGAAGAAAGAAGGCATATGAACAAACAAGATGCTGCCGGTGGCGTCAAGTATTCATTTCCTTGTTTGCACTTTCGTTCGCTTTGTGTATGTTTGTCATAATAAATGGGCATTCTAATGAATTGAGTGGCCCCACGTTCAGAGTGGCGGCCACTGCAAATCATAAAACCTTACCGGCCTTACCTTTAACACAACTCATGGAAAGTATATTACACGAAGCTCATAATCCTACGCAACACAGTACTGGAGTGGACCCTCGTGTTGATAGTGTAGATAGTGTAGATACAAATCTACTAGTATAAAAAGAACAAGTCAGAGAGCAAAGTACAAAGGCTCAGCCACAACTCAGCAGTGTAGGTGCAGAGATCGACAGTCAGGCCACAGTACCACAAGTACTACCAATTAGACACCAATCAGACACACGTGCGAAAACTACACAGTTCAGGCGCAGCTGAGTGATAAGAGGTGAATCAAATTATCCAGTCTGATAAAGAAATGCGGCCAAGACCACTTGCGAACGATACTAAGCAGCAATCAATGGTCTGGCCTCAGGACTATCCAACAGCAACTCAATCAGGCATGTTATGTTCGTTTTGTACTTGTACACTTGGATTTCATATGCGCGGCTTGTAGTCCTCCGAGACAGATACATCTAGAGCTGACACTGTTCATCAACAGTATATGTATATATGCATAACAGGTTCACCAAGTTGTACGTGCTCACACGCTACATATGAGCACTTTTCTGCAAGTATATGAGCACTTTTTCTGCAAGTAGACGAAAAATTCCTTGCGTACATATATAATTTCGTGCCATGGTTTATATGTGTGTCTCTTTCTTTGGTTTAATGGACATTGATGTAACATATGTATATTTTGTGTGTGGGCGTCGTAGTTCTGGAAATATCATCATATATGAATTTGTGACGCAAAAAGAATTGCTTTGGTGTGTGTTATACGTCTACCAACCAGGCGTAAAATATTTAATGTCATATTGCAGAAAAGGAACTTGTCCCATTCACAGATGCATTAATACAACAACATTTTTGAAAGAACGGTTCATTTTTGTGGGCAAATTTGGTGCGTTCATGTGTCAATTTAAAGATGGTGCATATTCTTGTTTTCATGCACATGTAAGTATACACGGTGTGCATGAGTAATTGTATCCTGTTATGAGTACATATTTGTAATATCAACATTCTCGTATCGTATGTTTAGAATCTGTATTTTACGAAATCAATCATATCAATGACTCCCTAACTAGATTTTTTTATGTAAAGTGGTAACCAGCATTACAGTAATTAGGTATTTGCATATCCACATCCGTAGTGTTACATGGCGATTCTTATATGCATGATTGTCCATCAATATAACAAGATATTTAAAAACACTGATAACAATTTGTGCATATATCCAATTTTGTTGCGTAAATATGTTTCCAATATTCTACTCATGTACAAATCTTTGTACATGAGGGTCAGCAGAATTATTTACAGGTTAACTTAGATATGTGAATGGACTCACAAAGCTGCGATAATATCCACTCATCCATGAACACCTCTCGTATCCTTCGTCGATTGTGTATATACACCCTCATACTTGTGAACTACG